ATCCTCCTTCCTCATACTCAGAGAGCCACCCGATGACACGCAGCCTGCCTGGAAATGGATGTCCTCCGGAGAAGCACTGAAGTGATTCCTGCAGGTTATTTAAAAGGAAAACTTGGGACTGTCAGATCACGGTCATAAAGAGGGTGTTTAAAGGTTTAGCCCACCAGGGCTTATGAATTACATGGTAAGGGGTTGGTCTCTTAATGCATTTAGCATGGAGAGACACAGAATGAAACAAGGCACTTTGGGAGAAAAACACTGGCAAAAAAAAAAAAAAGAAAAAACCCGTAATGAATTGACATTTAAGGCAATTACATTATAACTGGTGAGATAGCCTACAATACATCCAAATGGCATGAAGTCAGGCATCTCTCCCAATCATCTTGCTTATGCAGCTGAAGGCTTCATTTTAATGCGTTTAGACTTTGTCTCGTCAAGCTGAGCCAACTTTATCTATGTTTTTCAGAATCACAGATTTATTTGAAAGCTTTTACCATCTGAGCATAAGACGCACGCTCTCTCTGAAATATACTTTTAACGGGAAAATTGAGACGCGTCCCATCTCTGGCGTGGACAAATATTTATTACAAAGTCGTCAGCGGGAGAAATATAATCAGGATAAAATAGGATAACGGAGCTCCTACTGTCTTTGCGCTATTTACGAGGGTGCTTTATAAAGTTGTCAGCCGCGCCCAGGAAACCAGGGGCGTCGCTCCCACTCTGGGGCACGACTGTAAACCATAAAGCCTTCTATCAGTGTCCACAAAACTCAAATATTTATTGTCATTTCTTTGGGAGTGGAGGAAAGCCTCATCTGGCTGCTTCTCCACCTGTGCTGTCCTGAAGCAGCAGCTCAAAGTTTTCCTTTTTTATTTTAATGCTTCAGAGTTTTTGTGGACACTTATATCAGACTTTATAGTTTGCAGTTATGCCCCAGAATGGGGAGAACGCCCCTTGTTTCCAAGTACCCTCGTATATATTCTGCTGAGTGCCCATCATGTACAGCACATACGAACCAGGGAGCAGCTACTACCGCTGCTCTGTTATCTTGTGGTAATCTGATAAAACACACAATTATTCATGTGTGAATGATGTTATTGGAAGCAAAAAATTAAAAATGACACATGTGGTTAAGACAGAACACATAACAAAACAAGAAGGGTCGGATCATTTGATATTTATTGATTATTAAGTGTAATTAATTTGGGATAAAGCAGAAATGGAGCCAGTGTTTTCCCACAACTATCTAAAAGACTGTCACACAAAACGATTTTGTTTTAGACCTCCGGATGACAACAAAGTGAACAATGGCGCATTAAGTACTGCAATAATTAGCTCTTGAGTTACTCAGAGGAAAACAATACGTCTTTTCATTTGGGGTGTAACTACCGTGCTGCTGCTCCGTTTCAGCTTGTCAACGGCGCTGCCAAGTCCCCTTCTGGGATTTGCCCAAGTCAGTCCTGTTACCTTTGCTAAATTTGGTGCAAGATGTAACAAGAGAAAAATGCTCCATCAATCACGCTGTAGATGCAGAAAGAGGAGTTGGAGGAGGAGGAGGAGGGGGGGTTCATGAGCTGAAAAATAAACCAGTGGAGGCTCTGCCAACAACCATTTCCTGGGTGAGATGATGGGAAAACTTCTCTCCGCTCTCCGGGGATTTCATTTGTGAACACACCGGCGTCCTCCAGAGCCTAAAGTTTGAGAGCGGAACTCAGGCACTTGGTCGGGCTGTTTTGAGCATTCCTGAAGTGAAATCCTCCTTTGCCTCTGTTGCTTGCTCCATCAGATAAAGACTGCCAGTGGAGGCTTAAGTGTGTCAATGAAGCCGGGTGGGGGCGGGGAATCAATGATAAGTGCAGCTTACCTCCTCAACTGCTGCGCACCAGCCAAATAGAGATTAAACCATTTCAACCTAATAGCACATGTCAGTCAAAAGTCACACTTGAATACTTGAACCCTCTCCGGCTGGGCCCCCGCCCACACGCCGCCACCTCCCATTTTCTAATTGCACCAGCCGGAAAGATGCTGCAATTTACAAAAAAAAAAAAATGCAAAGTGGCTATCAGAGCTAACTGAAACGCCGTGTGCACCACATCAGAGCCGGAGCTCAGGTCTGTCATTGTCAGCCATTTCTCTAAATCCTCAACCGACACTCACTTTGAAGGTTATTCTTTTGTATTACATTCAAAAACACACACTCAGTACAAACCTGCCCAGATCAAAGGCCCCGAGGTCTATTACTGCATAAAATACAGCTGTCCTTCTAAACAGCAGCTTTTGTAAACGCTACTCATTTCTAGCTCTAATCACTGTTGTGGACATTGCAAAATTGCCCACTGTTCCAGGGGATTACTCGACTGAACCCCACAACGTGGCTTTGATTTGTTGTTCAGTCATCTCAGATGTGGATGCAGCCTGTGGTCTCTAAATGAGAGCTTGTGTTGTTCTGCCAGTGTCCCTTATTTAGACATCACAGCACTCATTAGGTGGATCAAGCTGATATCAAAGTCAGAACACAGACGTCTATGTTTTTCAGAAAGCTGGAACCGTCACAGTGTCTGCTTAATGATATGTCTGCTGTCTATTCAGCTCGATTGTTATTTCACTGTCATTTCTCGAGTGCCTCGTCTGTTGACCTCTCCTGCCATGTGATTTCCTCGGCTTTAATGCTTTCATCACTGTCTTCTTTTATTTGATGTTTGGACAAAATGAATCCAATAGATGTCCTTTCTGCGCGGTGAAAAAAAATGCATTATAAAAGCTGTACCCTCAGGAAAGTTGTCGGAAGGGTCACCACGTGGTCATCAGCTGGAGCTCGCTAGTTATTACAGGTGAAGTGGGGACAGGCAGGATGTATCTGGCATCATTGGGCAAAAAAAAATCCATGCTAACCTGTTAGCATATGGTAATTCAAGTGGTCTGAGAGGAGACTCCTGCACCTCCTCCTAGTGTGTGGCAGGAGATTTCAGCCAATCGCAGGTGAGGACAGGATGTGTTGGTGCAACGGCTTGGATGGAGGACTTTCACTCAGGAGGTTGGGGTTTAAGTCACAGGTTAAGCCACAAATAAACGTTCGATACCTCCTCCCCGGTCACGAAGGCGCTGAGATTGGATTGCGTCTCTGTTGATGTAGCGGACAAATCCAGCTGGGAAAAGTTCTCCTCATCAGATCAAATATATCATTTGGCTGTTCAGATGTGTAGAGCATGCAGTAACATATCTTAAAGGCATCATTTATGCACTTATTATGTATACGATTACTTTGAGCAGGACATATAGCCAGAATAGACTTTGACTTGTTTGTTTTTTTTAATCCCCATGTTCATAAATTCTTTATCTTGCAAACCAATAAATAAATGTGGACTTCTAGTTTGGGCTTGTTTGGTCAGAGGCGCGTTTCTGGATTTTATTTAGTCGTCTTTTTCTAGATTTGGTGGTTAGCATCATCGCTTCGCAGCCAGAAGGTCGTAGGTTCACGTCCCGGTGAGGACACCTGGGATCTTTCTTTCTGCGTGGAGTCTCCATGTTCTCCCCGTGCAGCGTGGGTTCTCTCCGGGTTCTTCCTCCCACACAGTCCAGAAACATGCAGAGGTTAATTGGTGATTCTAAATTGTCCGTAGGTGTGAATGTGAGATAATGGATGGATGGATAGATTTCTCCTACTGTACCTTTAACGCAGCTTTACTTGCATGAACTGGTTTTAAATGCTGCCTCCATCTTTGTGATATTTTCAGTGAACTCCCTTGAAATGGGAACGATTGTTCACGCTTTGGCTCCACATGTGATGCTGTGGCTAAAGCTCACGGGCCCCGGACAAAATGTCAGCAACCTCACAACCCGATGATCCTCTCAGAAGAAGCGCTGTACTTTTACTGCGGTGTCGAGTTTTATATTATATAAGTAGCTTAAGGAAAAATGTAGCATCAGACTGTTTGCCAAACATAACATTAACCCAGGTCATGTTGGCTGCAGTTTGTTTTACATGTAGCCTCACTTTACACAGATAAATATTATATTTAACTTATTCTTTTTTTTTTTGCTTGTCTTTCTGACTTTGGAAAGGCCAAAAAAAAAAAAAAAAATGACACTGCCCTACTCTGCTCTTTAAATGCAGAGTCTCGCCCTCGCTAGAGCCGACAAACACAGCTTGGACGTGTGGAGAAATCCAAAGCCGGACACCCTCCATACCTGCTCGTGGTTGCTCAGCTATGATTCCACTGTTCGCTGTTCAGGGGACGGATTTAGAAAATGATCTCTGTAGTATAGATGTTCACAGCAAACTACTGCACGACTCAAAGCTTAATCAGGATCCAGAAATATTAATAACTTAGGTTTTATAGGGGGTTCTGTGCTTTCTTTTTGTTCCTTTATTCTATTGTTGTGAATTAAAAGACTTTGAGTTTGCTGGTTGTTTAATCCTCTGGATATCGGTGGTGTCACTACAGTAGCCTTTTGTTTACCCGTGGATCACGGATTGCGCCTTTAAAACTCAGAGGAGATAACAGTTAAATGACTTGTAAGATGGATATTTTCTGCAGTGCAGCAGTTTAGATGAGAGGTATAAACAAAGAGATGATGTGTCCCCCACAGAGACAGCTCCTCTGATAGGTGCTGCTGTGATAGCTTATTTAAAGCAGCCTCTCTGTCTTTTGTTTTCTTTTCAAGAAAGATTAAAGAATCTCTTATGCCATTTGATATTTCAGTGGGATGGTGATACTATTGAGTAGCATTGTGCCGGGTTTGTGTGGTGGGTGTTGGAAATTGATTCAAATACAGCTTATCAAAGTCCGTGAGGGACTGAGCCAGCACACTATATCCAGAGGTTTGTGGGTAATATTCAGCAACTTGTCCAGGCAGACACTCGGCCTGTTTATTTATTTTTGCAGCAACACATCTCTGCCTTCATTTCAATGCATTGCTAGTATGAGCTTGTCACATCCAGCATGTGGACTTTGTCATGTTTATGGTGATGTTCCTGATATGAATCTATTCTCTCCCAGGTTTACACCAGATATGGGAAATGCTACACTTTTAATGGCAACAAGACTACATCCAGGAAAACCAAGCAGGGTGGAATGGGAAATGGGCTGGAGATCATGCTGGATATCCAGCAGGATGAGTATCTGCCCATCTGGAGAGAGACAAGTAAGCCTCAAAACTATTTGTTCATTGTAATCCTATCCTATGCTCCAGCATGACACATTGCTGCTGCAGTTTAAATCAAAAACAACCTCGGTGCATTTCTCTGGGTCATGTACTGTAAATAATTTATGTTTTGATTGCTTTGCTGCACCTGAAAAATGTGATTTGTCCAAAAAAAAAAAGAGGGAATTCCTGAACGACTACCCCGGATATGTCCTTGCATTGCCACACAATATTAATCCTTCCTGGCTTATTTTTCAAACATGACTGAAATATGGTTTTCGGTTAACGTCAAACTGAGTCCAAGCTGTCAGATGAAGCAGCCATCTGAAATTCCCTTGTTCTTTCCCTTTGCAACGTGCCGTGCTCCGTTTCATCCTGATGAGAAGATGAGACGTCCCTGGAGGCCGGCATCCGAGTTCAGATCCACAGTCAGGACGAGCCTCCCTACATTCACCAGCTGGGCTTCGGCGTCTCTCCGGGCTTCCAGACCTTTGTTTCATGTCAGGAGCAGAGGGTAGGTCTTCTTCATCACAGCATACCGTCCCGGCTCCCCGACCCCCACCACCTGATTACTGTTCTCCCTGCAACAGCTCGCCCCTGGTGGCTCAGATTGAGGTCTAATAAATCTCTGTGTGCTTAGCTGACCTACCTGCCCCAGCCCTGGGGGAACTGCCGCTCCACCAGCAAAGAGAAGTTCCCAGGATACGACACGTACAGCATCAGCGCCTGTCGCTTGCTCTGCGAGACCAACGAGGTCCTACGAGTGTGCAAGTGCAGGATGGTGCACATGCCTGGTGAGATCATCCCTTACATCTTCTGTATTCAGAGCACAATACATGTCATGGGAGAGAACTTGCGTGCACGAATTACAAATGCACACAGATTAGCGATTCTTTCTCTCAGATAATTTTACTGTAACTCCAGCTACTGAAAACTGCAGAACTGTGCACCATAATGACCAAACATGGAGCTTAAAAAACAGTTAAACACAGATCCTATGTTGTTGATTTTTATAACTTTAAGGGAATGAAAGAGCATATGTACAGTAACAAAAACTTAAATTGGGAAATAAGGGAGAATACTCCAACAGAGTTAGTGTTTTCAAGTATTTCCTTCATTGTTTGGCCTTTTTATAATTGAAAAAACACCCAGTGAGCCCAGTATTTCCATGATATTTGATGACCCATTGTGCAAAAAAAAAGCCATCAGTTTTTTGGCCCTCTTGAATCAGTCCAGCACAGATATAATTTAGGCTGCCACATGCCTGACCTTGATGCTTGATATCTGGAGTGGGATGCTCTTCAGCGGCGCTGCCAGCTCTCTGGCCAGTGACACATCAGAATACAGTCTCAATGAGTTTGGGATCCTTTCTCTCATCCATCTCCATCTGTTTGGAAATTGTTCTGTTGTCCTCCTGTGGCTTTCATTAATTATTGTGATGGATTATTACTACTAGTCCTGTTTAGTTTCCACTGGTACATGACTTGCAGACTGCACGGAGGACCCCTGACTGTATTGGATTACTCGGGCATTTACTCACATAATGACGTATTGCCTGGGACACATATCTAATTTAAACTCGGTCTTGACTTTCATGAAGCGCAGAACAAAGAAGTTTCTGTCGATATTATATATTACATTGTTTGGGGTAATTTGTTGGAGCAAAATTCAGGAGAAAAATGAAAACATTCTCCAATGATACCCCCTGTAACAAAAGCAATTATTATTAGGATTGTTATTAGTATTGAGCACATTTTATGCCTTTAATGAATAGTTGAACAAAAAGCATTGTTGTTAGTGTTTTATATCAATAACAAGAATCTACAGCAGCGTTAGTGGCTCTGTGAGGCACCTCATGGGCTCAGCTGAACGCTATAATGATGTTTCACAGCTAGAATTTTAATCACAATCATCGTCTTTGCTTAGCATTGTGGCGTGCTAATATTTATATATTAGTGCTTAAAACACAGCTGAAGTTGGTGAATCTCATTTTTAAATACATGGTTATAGATGGACAAACTGTAGGTTTCATGAACATCCATGTGGTGGTTCTGGCCAAGTGTCAACATCAAGCAAACCCAAAAATGAGCAAAGAGGTGGAGCAGGAGTAACGTGAGCCATGCACAGATCTCTGAGACATGGAGAGTCCCAACCTGCATTCAAATCAGCCAACCACTTACTGATGCAGAGTTTTAAGTCTTAATAACAATTCAAACAGGTGATTTATGTAAGAATTCACCACCACACAGGTCTCATTAACAGATAAATTAGCTATAGAGACAGAAATCATTTGTTATATCTGGCTGTAAACATGTTTATTTCTGCTGTAAAGTTGGACATTTTAACATGGAGGTCTATGGGGATTGACTCACTTTCAGAACCAGCCCCTAGTGGCCGTTCGAGAAACTGCAGTTTTTAGTACTTCCTAAATTAGCTTTATTTTCAGCTCCAGTCGTTGGATTGGTGCACAAATTCCCTTAAATCTATTCAGTAGGTGTTAACATTTCACTCAAAACTAACATGAACCTCCTGGTGGCGCTAGAGTCAAAGGATCAATGAAGTTACATCCTTCAGAGACCACGAGTGTTTGTGCACGACTCTAACAGTTGTGGAGACATGATGCATACTTCTACCTGTTAGGTTGCTAATCTTGGCAGTAGCACCGTGTAAGCAGTTTCTCTGCTCGGCGCGGCGATATGTTGCCGAGCTGAGTCCGACAAACACGAAGTGAGATGTTTGGGCTTACTCAGTGCGTGCGTCATCACGGCTAGAGTGCAGCAAGTCAAAGAGCTGAGTCACTGAATGCAAGCTGCTTGACTGACGTGTCTAACAAGTAGGCATGTTGAGGATGGTAGCGTTTAAAGTTCCAGGAACCTTGCAATGTATGCACTTTCATTTCCACATTCGTTGGCTTAAATAAGCAAACAGGTAGGAGACATTTGATGTAGAATAAAGTTGCAAATTCAACCCCATACTGCATACTATAGGATTTTCCACAGAAGAAATCCCATCGCTCTGCCTGTACAGTATAAGTGGTGTGGTTTTCATGTGACACCTCTACACAGCAGTCACATATTTCAGACTTCCATTTGCAGTCTATAATGGATGGACTGAAGTCGTCGTCTGATCTGCAGAGAGTTTGCGGGCTCTGCGGTATCTTGTCACAGATTGCCGTTGGCTTAATAACACGCCGGTTGTATTGCACTTCACTCATCCTTGTTTGCTTGATGTGACACACCTGCCAGTGCAGCTCATGCAGTCCTAATGAAAGTACATGGACGTTGTTCTGACATATTTGGTCGAGAAAACATTCGATCCTCTTTGAAACGCACATTTAAAACACATGAAATGAGCATAAATATAAATAGATGTAATATTCTTCTGTGGCAAAAGTAGGAAAATAACTTCCTGTAAGCTTTTTGCATAAACGTCCGTCGGTCTCTGATGTCGGCTTGTTTACGTTTCTGACCACTTTTCCTCGCAAAATTCCTTCAGCTGCAAACTGTTTGAGGGTTTTCTTGTCTGTGCTGCCCATTTCAAATCCCCCCACAGTATTTCAATGGGATTCAAATCTGGCCGGTTTATTTCTAGGCCATCCCATAACCCTCAAAGACTGAGAGCTGCCCAGCCCCTGAGGCAGCGAAGCAACCCCAAACCATAGCATTTCCACCACCGCGCTTTATCGCTGGTATGAGGTTGTTCTTCTGAAAAGGCCGCCTTCGGTGCGTGCCAAACATGTCTACTGTTACCGCGGCCAAACAACTCTATCTTTGATTCGTCTTGTGCTCTTTGGCAAACTGCATTGTTGCTCTAATTTCTCCCTTGTGGACAGCAGCGGATTCTTCTCGGCTCACCACGCAGGCAGGTCGAATTTGGGCAAAGTCTGTCTGATTGTAGACGAAGACTTTGACACCAACAGTTGCAGGAGTTACCCGCAGATCCTGCAGATAAAGATTTAGGAATCTGAGAGGCTGCTTTGCATCAAACTGGTTGCTCTTGAGCTGAATTATCTGAAGCAGCCAGACAAGGACAAATTATCAGTCGTTTGAAATCTGTGCCACCGGAAGGTGATTGTCCTTCGAGTGGAATGATATTTCACATTTCTGAAATCCCTCGCCAGACTCATAGGCATCCGCAACCTTTTTCCTGAAGGCCTTGGAGAGCTCTTTAGATGTTGGCACACTTCAGTAGCCAAAAGAACACCAGAGCCCAGAAGTCAGAGCTTTAAATAAGACAAGTTCGGATCATTCGCACCTAATCTGGAACCCATGAGTCAATTCTTTTAAGGTGTGATGAATGTGCTTAATTTTTCCCCGTGGCTGTAGAGGTTGTAAGGACTGAGCAGGGCCGCAAAATCACTTGTAAATTGTTAAAATGACAGAAAAAGTACATTTTCTGTCACCTTCATCTGTAGACACTGTTTCAAGGAAGATCACCGCTTCGCTTGTTCAAATATGCTGAAGAAGTCGACAGTGTCTGTGGGCTGGACTGTACTTACTGTAGATCCACACTCTCTCACCAGCGTGTTGTCGGGAGACATTACTTAGAAATAGTCTATATTATAGCAATTCTTCAAATGAATGACATAAGTAAGAAAAAGGACAGTAGAACGGGAAACTTTCACCAGATGTGGAGGACACAGCGGAGGTGTTTGGAGAGCAGCACAGTCACTTTGCTTTCTGTGATGATGTATCACAGCAGATATGATATTTATTATGTCAGACGTAATAAATGTAGAAGCTTTTCCAGGCCATTTGCTCCCAGAAGAGGGCTCCGGTCAGGTAGCAAGTAGCTCGCATTACTTCACTGCACTTATCAATAGTGAATAAAATTTATTGTTGCATATGAAAATGAAATCCTGCCTTAAGGTTCCAGAAAGCAATTGGTTCAAAAGCTTTCCGAGGCAAAATGAGACCAACTCGTGAATAGAAAATAGTCTTAATGTGGCCGCACGGTGCTCTATAATTCCTCCAGCAGACCTCTAGCCTCTGTTACAGCGTGTTCTCACAGATTTCTCACATTGATTCTGAGTTTCTTGTAGTGAAAACAACATAAACGTTTGTGTCCTTGTGCTCACTCACATTAACTCTTTACAGTCTGCAGTCTGGGTTTACGTTGCCTACGAACCATCTTATGTGTGTTTGTGTTTCTTGTCCTTTTAAGATGCTGTTTTCATGTCATTACTATTATCACTACGTCCACCGAGTCGATTATTCTTTCACGTTTGTTTGTTGGCAAGATTTTACAGAAGCATCTCTAAAATTTGGCCAAACAAACGATTGGGTTTCGAGGAGGATTGTGCCACCGTGTGGACGCTTACAAAGCTCATAACCCTTGAACTGCGAGGCCTAGAAGCAAAACTGTGTTTTCCCAGATTTGCCTGCTTCAAGATGAATATTTCAGTGTTTCGGTCCATCTCTATATTTGGATGACCACCCAAAAAAGCTATTAACTTGTTCTTGTTCTTGATGTGTGGACAGCAGACAGAAACACTGCACGGCTTTTGCCTCCACTCTTCAAAAAAAAACTAAAAAAAACTACGCAGGGAAATTTAAAGAATATGTTAAATAATAAATAATATTTATTAATGACTTCTGGAAACCCTTTGTCCACTCTTTGAGAAGTTCTAAGAAGTCAGCTGACAGCGTGACCAGACACGAGTTCGCTGTGTAATAATGATCATTTCTGAGCGAGCGGGAAGGAGACTCACACAACACATTAACCCCGTGAACATTTCACAGACAGACAAACAAATTAATTGTGCTGCTGATGAATACCTGTCATTAATGGCCCAGGCAGTATGTTTGTCTGCAAGGAAGTGACTCATTGATTGTTTTTTAAAGACTTTCTAAATATGCCTGGCGGGTGGAGCCAGCATGCTCCATTTCTCAGCGCAATCAAGGACAGACGTCCACGATGGCCCAGACTCTGTGGATGGAAGTCATCCTCTGTGCGCCTGCCTTCATTTGGAGATGAATGATAAGCTGTGGAGTGTTGTTCACAGCCACGCTTCCTCATTGCAGCAGACACGGGTCACTGATCATTTTGTTTCTGATTGATCAGACTCATTTTCTGCTCTCCTTTCCAGGAACTGCAGCTATCTGCCCTCCCAGTAAAGTCAACTGTGTTGACAAAGCACTTGGTAAGAAACAATCTTCCTTCATTTCTTTTCTCATTACAATAGACTCCCCCAAAGGGAAATGGAAACACAATCAGTAAATATGATAAGGATTTTTTTTTGTTTTGGTTTTTTTTTGTGATACAAATACCTGGAGGTAGACTGGATATTTTCAAATGACTTTTCCTCGTTGTAATTTAGTCACTTTAAGGCTTGATGGCTCTGCTGCCTCCATTGTTGAACTGTTAATATTAAACATACACTTCATTCCGGCGTATCTGCATCCCCCACCCTCAGCCTCGGCTCTGACCTCGCTCCCCTCGCGAAGCAGATAGCGTGACTGAACCTTGGCTTCAAAGGCATTCCAGGAGAAAAATAAATAAAAAAAGAGACTGATTTTTTTTTTTTTTTTTTTACTGGCATGACAGACATATAAGTACAATTATCATTTCTCAGCTGAATGAGCCTGAAATTTAATTATGTCTCTCTTCACTGAATCCAAACCCTGTTTAAAATATGGCTGAATGAAATCTTAGATATATCTTACATGAATGGGGCATATTCATGTGGGTCATATTCCTGAATCAAATGGTGTGAATAGATTCACCCTCCATGAAAGGTAATACATTAAAATGTAATTTATATATTTATATTGTAAAGGTGTTTTGTTCCCGTATCTGGCAGAGAATATATGCCGTCGTGCTCCTGCATACAAATAACCTAATTGTTAGAGTTATAAAATACATAAATCATCAAATTATAATTACTGCTTTCAGTGCTCACTCTTTTTTTTTTTGTCTGGACTGAATGCATGTGGAATTTGAAAAGAGAGCGATTGGGAAAAGCTATTTACTCTCCTGTGAATGTTGTGTTGTCTAAGACCTCGGATTATAAATATATATTTGTTCGCGTGCGAGTAATTGGTGCCTACATGTTAATTGGGTGTAACGTGCCAAAGTCCTCTGCAGCGCTTTACTGTACAACCTCCACATTTATTCTTTGAGCAAATGTTGTCACAGAACTACTGTTAACACCAGGAGCTGTTGATATGACGTTAGATTAACACGTCATGTTATTAGGACGCTCAGAGTGATGCTATTTCATGAGAAGTGTAGAAAATATGACTGGAAACCCATTGCACACAGTGTTTATCTGTTGTTAAATATTAATTGTAGATTCTCTGTTAAGGCTGTGATGAATTTGTTAAATCAAAATTAGAAGCACAGCTACTAAACTAGTAGGAATAACATCATTTACACACAAACCGTAGTGAAAAAGCCACACAACAAAAGGATTGTTAATGAATATATCTGTGCAAATATCACTAAATCAGCCCACAATTATGTACATGTGTGTTTACATCATGGTCACTCAGTAAAGGAGATGTATTTAAACCGTTGTCATGAGATTTAACATGTGACACAGTGGACTTCTAAGTTGTCTGTTCTGTTTTTGAAGTGTCTTGAATTAATGAGACGTACCAACCGATTAGCAGCACATCTTTTCTGTGACTGCGGTGTAAAGCAAACAGAAGTGAGTACACCCCTGTGCAGTGTCACTACGATGTTAAAACAGCCACATCTTTAAAATCTGCATCAACTCTCAACAATAAGAAGATTCCTAAGCTGGCAAATGGAGGATTTCCTCCCATGAACATCCATCCATTATCTATACACCGCTTAATCCTCACTATAGGTTCGTGGGGGGGATGGAGTCTATCCCAGCTGACTTAGAGTGAAGGCAGGTTCACCTGGACAGGTAACCAGTCTATCACAGGGCTACACTTAGAGACAGACAACCAAGCACACTCACATTCACACCTACGGACAATTTACAATCACCAATTAACCTCAACATGTTTCTGGACTGTGGGAGGAAGCCGGAGAACCCGGAGAGAACCCACACTGCACGGGGAGAACATGGAGACTCCACGCAGGAAGATCCCGGGTGTCCTCACCGGGACGCGAACCGACATGCGAGGCAACAGTGCTACCAACTGCGCCACCCTGCAGCCCCTCCCATGAACAATCAAAAACAAAAACTGCAGGCCCCAAACTAGAAACACAATGACATGAACAGAGGTAAATATATCTGTGATCACCGATAGATGAGTTCAGAAACCTGTGATCAGTGAAACATATTGTCCATTTAGCTTAAAAACAGGAACATTGTTGTGAAATGATCTCCAGAAGTTGGTCATGCAGGCTGTGTCTTATCTGCATGATGGGTCCAGAAGGAAAGAAATAGAGGATCAGAGAATCTGATTGTGAGTTTCAGGATTCAGGAAAATCAGTGACCAGCTGAAAATCAGTCGGTAAACAGGAGGTACAGAACAAGCTGTAGTAGCCTTCGTCAGACACACAGCGGCTACAGACAGGACGCTGCTGGTACAGTCTGGCTCTGATAAACAGACAGTCAGTTACTTCAGACTTGGCACCGGGTTTATCGTGGAAATCAAAGTTTGTGTGCGAGCTCAGACAGGGTGAAGGACGGCGCTTAATGCCAGCCTCTGTGGACGGCTTCCAAGAAAAACTGCAAGTCTAAACTTTGTTAAAAGGCTCGAAACAAAGTCTGAGACATTCTGGAGCAGATTCTTTGGTCAGATGAAGATAAATGTGTTCGATTCGGCGTGTTTGGCATTAACCTGAGCGGGACCGCCACAGTGGACGCACAGGCCCGACAGTGAAGCACTGGAGGTGGGAGAGCGAAGACACGGGGCCGCACGAGTGCAAAAGGCGTCGTGGAGATGACATTCGTAGATGGCAAACACGAACGCCTGTGGATAAACCAGAATACTATCTGACAACATGACTCCCAGCCTGCAGAAGCTTGGCAGAGGAGGAATATTCCAGCATGATAACGATCCAGAGCAGGCTGCCAAAATCACACAACAAGAGTTTCTGAAAAAGAAAGTGAAAACTACAACCTGCCCAAGTATGTCTCCTGACTTGAATCTAACAGGAAGGTATTTTAAAGAGAAAGGTAGAGCAACACAAGCCCTACAGCAAAGAGCAGCTGGAAAAAAGAAAAGTCTCAGAAGAATGACAGAAATGTCCAGAAAATTTGTGCAACACTGATTTGCTCCATGCCGAGGAGGATGGAGGCTGTCCTTACAAATAAAGGTGGACGTACAACGGTTTGGGGAGAAAAATAATGTATTTAAACCTCACTAATCAAGGTGCAGTGACCTTGTTGACTTGAGTGCCTCATGTAGAGCTCATATGTTTAATTTCCCGACTTAGAAATGATGCAGTTACATCACATTGGAGTGATTCTGCTGCAGGCGTTTGCTCACTTCTGTTGTAAATTAGCAGACAGCATTAAACCTGCATTAATTCATATTTTTCATCAAATGACAATGAATAATGTGAAAACAAAAGCTTGCATGTACTGATAATCATCACCTTGTGTCTGCAGTCTGTGTAGTGGTTCTGTGGTAAAGTGAACTCGGCTCTGAAACTGACCCGGTGTGTCTCTGTTAAACCTCCTCCCCCCCATCGCTGCCATTGTGGTGCAGCACAGCTACAGAAGAACAGTGGAGATACCTGTCCATGCGAGACGCCCTGTAATCTCACCCGCTACGGTAAAGAGCTCTCCATGGTCAAAATTCCCAGCAAGGGCTCGGCTCGCTATCTGTCCAGGAAATACGACAAGTCGGAGGACTACATCAGGTACGACGGCGAACCTTCAGCCAGACTTAACCGACTCAGGAGCAGTGATGTGGAGCTCAGTAAAAGGGCCGTAAACTATGACCTCCGGGCCGTTATCACTAACACAACAGCAGCAGTGATGAATTAAAACAAGAATCTGTTGTATGTTCATGCGAACTGGGAGCAGATTGTCGGTAGATGTGCTTTATTTCTTCATTAATCTTTCTGTTGTAATTAATAACTGTATTTGTGTTTTATGATTCTAAGTTTATTGCTGCTATTTAGATCATTTACAGTTCCTTGTGGGGTCGCCTTTGTCTCTCCGTTTGTGTAATGATCCATTAAAACCAAACTAAAACATCTTGATAATGATTAACTCCATTAGATGTATTAGTACCAGGAGGACGGTATGAAAGCTCTGGATGAAACAACTGTGTTAGATTTCTTCTGGTGGAGTGAACGCAGCACGAGCAAAAGGTTTCGCGTCTAAATTCTGCTCTACAATATGTTTTATGGGACATTTGCTAATATTTCGATCGTAACGAGTTCAGCGGAGTAACTGATGTGCTTATGCTGTAATTCCTCTCAGTGCCTAATCATCGGGGATGTAGTGGAGGGTAAATACGCCTAAACCAGAGAGCACACGCTGCCTCACCGCATTTAATATTACCAGGCTTTCTAAATCCGGAGAGATCGGAGACATGGCAGTGACTAAGCAGGCTGTCGGTGCACGTTCTGCTCATCTCAGTTAAACCCTGCAACACCTCATTATCTCACAATCGCCCGTTAGATCTGTGTACAGCGCTGTTGGCCTGGCAATCCCGCCATGACAGCTACAGTGAGCATAAAGATCACTCCACGTGTTTTTAATTTTGGTTTTTTTTTTCAAATTATATTTGCAGTGAATTATGAAGCAGCTCGAGTGTGTTTGCTTCCTGTGCCATTTACACTCCACTTGTTTTCCCAGAGACAACTTCCTGGTCCTGGATATCTTCTTTGAAGCTCTCAACTACGAAACGATCGAGCAAAAGAAAGCGTACGATGTTGCGGGTTTATTAGGTAAGATTTGTGCCCATTTTCTGCCTATTTTCTGAGCGCTTTATAGGCCTGCTGGAGCGGAGAGAAAATGTTTTTTATAGAGGCCATTAGCAGAAGATAGGGACGGCTTTGTTCCTGTGTCCACTGCGCCTCTCTTTAAGTTGTTAAGTACTTTCTTTTCAGGTGACATTGGTGGACAGATGGGCTTATTCATCGGAGCGAGCATCCTGACAGTCCTAGAAATACTGGATTACATCTATGAGGTACAGTGTTCGTTGAAGCCCACGCACACGAGCCGATCACAACGTGAAATCAGACCTGCAGTAGCTGTGGTGTAATTAGCAATAATTAGCAGCTATTGTCCTGCTGGATTTCAGAAAGAACTCCGATGCAAGCAGCCGTCACTATTTACAAAACACATTAGTGCGTCTTTGTTTGCTTTAATTTCCCCCAGTATTGACAAAGTATTGTGTGTTTTTTGTTTGCAATGCGACCGCTGAGCATGTTGGTATTCCTCCACGTCCTCCCCACACGTTATTATCCGAAAATCTGAGGACAGCACTGGCAGCGCCACTGTTATCACTTATTATGCATGTGAGAAGTTTTATTTGATTCCCAGGCAGGAGAAACTAATATCCGCTCCGGCCTGAGCAGAGGACATGCTACTAACGCTGATCATGAAATGAACTCCTGCCTCATCTGTATCCCCTTTAAGCCTCGTAGCCAGCTGCCTGCTGACTGCCAAACATGCATGAATAAAGCAAAGTCAGAGGGAGGGACTGTAACGCAGACATCATGTTGGATGAACTCTTCACACTGCCGCATCTCTTGTCTCCCTCTCTCATCTCTGCTCTTTCACCCTCTCTGCTGCCGTGGTCTCGGGGAAACCAGGTCATCAAGCACCGGCTACAGCGTCTGCTGAGGCCGCAGAAAGAGGAGAAGAAGAGCAAGCAGCAGACCAGCACTGTTGCAACAGTGGGTCTGGAGGAAATGAAAGCAAAGGTACAGCACATGCTGAACTGTAACAAATAATACATACGCTGTTTTCATGCTGAGTGTACAAGTCGCCCCGCGGCAGTGCAGCCGCATTACAGAACAACAGAGGAATAAGGAAGAGAGCAGCAAATTAATATGTTTCCACTCCTAAAATAATGAAGAAGTTCAACGTTCCTAATTAGTCTTAAGCGCCGTGCCAGCACATCCTCCCCCTGAGCTCGGATTAGTTACTGTACAACTTTATATCTGAACAATAGGCTTCTTATCTCATAATTGTAATCGTGTCCTAATTCTGTGCCGCCGACTAGAACCAGATGGTCAGAGACTTGGTCCAACATCAGAATTCACTGTTGAGCTCAGCAGCAGACGCCGATTTGGTTTAAAATATAGGCTGAAGCCGCGGCGTGGGAACATCCATCAGCAATTTACCAGAAATTCATTCCAGCTAAACTGGATCTGGGTTACGTAAGAGTTCGCCGTTTAGCTTAAAATATATATGCGGTGCTGAAAAGTAATTTAACCTCAGACGTACCTTCAGCACACGTGCAGCGTTTAACGAATTTATTAGACCAGCACCCAGTTTAAAGCTTACATGTTTCTGTCATGGTTAATACGCCAGGATGTGGAAGCTCTTTAACTGAAATGATGTTTTTAATGCTGAAATAAAATCATTATTGATACCCAGGATTTTTCAGATTTACTGTTTTACAAAAGAAAAATGAAAAAATAGTAATTATAGTTGTTATTTCTTGATTAAGATGTCAGATTGTTGGTATTTAGTTGAGTTCCTGAACAGAAAAATGAGTTTTAGTGGTTGGATGTTGTGATTTGTCAGAGAAGCCCAGAGGCTCAGATTTGGGTTTAAAAGGTGAGTTCAGGTTGAAATTCCTCATTCCTGTTCAAAATGTTAAAATGAGTACATATTCATGATGCTGGATGGTCTACATATGGATTAATAAATTACACAGGTGGTCTAATGAATTTGTTCCTCACTGTACATGATATTGATGTGTTCATCTCCTTCTTGTAAAGAAACTAAATCAGAATCAGATTTATTGCCAGGTGCAGTTTACACAATATGAGGAGTTTGTTCTGGTGGGTTAAATATAGAGTAAAGTGCAAAGTACAAGATAAAAAATATATAAAACAGCTAAAAGAAATAAAAGTAATTACAAATAAAAATAACTGTAATAGCGCAAAGCAGAAGCAGAAAACTATTGTGGAGTGAAGAATTAAAGTTAAATATAAATAAGAATACTGAGGGTGCAGATATACTGATATTTACATTTATACAGATTAATAAAAAGAGTGCAAACTGAAGGTGTGGAGGTGCAACATGACCAACAGCAGTGCAATAAGCAATAAGCATAGTTTTTCTTTAAATTCTAATTTTAAAGAACCACCAGTGAGGTGATCGTGTAAAGTGTGATTAAAGTAGATTAGAGACAGCGTCGTGTCTTCACAGAAATGTTCTGTCCAGGTATTGTCACATGTTCTGATGGATTAATCGTAGCAGCTGGACCTGTTTGAGTTCCTTGAAGACGCTTCTCTCATCCAGGAGGCTTCATCAGCTCTGACTGACTGGTTGGTTTGATTGTTAGCCGTCTATGTCCAACAGGAAAGACCATCCTGAAACAGAGGTGGAGGTCTGAGGCATCACCTCTCACCTGTTCACAGCTCAGTCCTAAGATCTCTCCCCAGGAAGATGGAACCACATCCACACCTAAAACACCCTAACGAACCCCATAGTGGTAGGGGGAGCACT